TTCATAAGTGGAGAAATAAAATCCTTTACAGACAAGCAAATGCTTAGAGATTTTGTCACCACCAGGCCTGCCCTACAAGAGATCCTGAAGGAAGCACTAAACATGGAAAGGAACAATAGGTACCAGCCATTGCAAAAACGTGTCAAAATGTAAAGTCCATTGATGCTAGGAAGAAATGCATCAACTAACAAGCAAAATAACCAGCTAATATCATAATGACAGGATCAAGTTCACACATAACAATATTAACCTTAAATGTAAATGGACTAAATGGTCCAATTAAAAGACACAGACTGGCAAATTGGATAGAGTCAAGACCCATCAGTTTGCTGTATTCAGGAGACCCATCTCACATGCAGAGACACACATAGGCTCAAAATATAGGGATGGAGGAAGATCTACCAAGCAAAGGGAAAACAAAACAAAACAAAAAACCAGGGGTTGCAATCCTAGTCTCTGATAAAACAGACTTTAAACCATCAAAGATCAAAAGAGACAAAGAAGGCCATTACATCATGGTAAAGGGATCAATTAATCAGGAAGAGCTAACTATCCTAAATATATATGCACCCAATACAGGAGCACCCAGATTCATAAAGCAAGTCCTTAGAGACCTACAAAGAGACTTAGACTTCCACACTAATAATGGGAGACTTTAACACCCCACTGTCAACATTAGACAGATCAACGAGACAGAAAGTTAACAAGGATATTCAGGAATTGAACTCACCTCTGTGCCAAGTGGACCTAATAGACATCTACAGAACTCTCCACCCCAAATCAACAGAATATACATTCTTAGCACCACATCACACTTATTCCAAAATTGACCACATAGTTGGAAGTAAAGCACTCCTCAGCAAATGTAAAAGAACAGAAATTATAACAAACTGTCTCTCAGACCACAGTACAATCAAACTAGAACTCAGGACTAAGAAACTCAATCAAAACCGCTCAACTACATGAAAACTGCACAACCTGCTCCTGAATGACTACTGGGTACATAACGAAATGAAGGCAGAAATAAAGATGTTCTTTGAAACCAATGAGAACAAAGATACAACATACCAGAATCTCTGGGACACATTTAAAGCAGTGTGTAGAGGGAAATTTATAGCACTAAATGCCCACAAGAGAAAGCAGGAAAGATCTAAAATTAACACCCTAACATCACAATTAAAAGAACTAGAGAAGCAAGAGCAAACACATTCAAAAGCTAGCAGAAGGCAAGAAATAACTAAGATCAGAGCAGAACTGAAGGAGACACACAAAACCCCCTCCAAAAAAAAAAAAAAAATGAATCCAGGAGCTGTTTTTTTGAAAAGATCAACAAAATTGATAGACCACTAGCAAGACTAATGAAGAAAAGAGAAGAATCAAATAGACGCAATAAAAAATAAGGGGATATCACCACCGACCCCACAGAAATACAAACTACCATCAGAGAATACTATAAACACCTCTACACAAATAAACTAGAAAACGTAGAGAAAATGGATAATTTCCTGGACACTTACACTGTCCCAAGACTAAACCAGGAAGAAGTTGAATCCCTGAATAGACCAATAGCAGGCTCTGAAATTGAGGCAATAATAGCCAAAAAAGTCCAGGACCAGACGGATTCACAGCCGAATTCTACCAGAGGGACAAGGAGGAGTTGGTACCATTCCTTCTGAAACTTTTCCAATCAATAGAAAAAGAGGGAATCCTCCCTAACTCTTTTTATGAGGCCATCATCCTGATACCAAAACCTAGCAGAGACAACAAAGAGAATTTTAGACCAATATACCTAATGAACATCGATGTAAAAATCCTCAGTAAAAGACTGGGAAACCAAATCCAGCAGCACATCAAAAAGCTTATCCACCATGATCAAGTGGGCTTCATCCCTGGGATGCAAGCCTGGTTCAACATATGCAAATCAATATAATCCAGCATATAAACAGAACCAAAGACAAAAACCACATGATTATCTCAATAGATGCAGAAAAGGCCTTTGACAAAATTCAACAGCCCTTCATGCTAAAAACGCTCAATAAATTCGGTATTGATGGAACATCTCAAAATAATAAGAGCTATTTATGACAAACCCACAGCCAATATCACACTGAATGGGCAAAAACTGGAAGCATTCCCTTTGAAAACTGGCACAAGACAGGGATGCCCTCTCTCACTCCCATTCAATACAGTGTTGGAAGTTCTGGCTAGGGCAGTCAGGCAAGAGAAAGAAAGGGTCTTCAGTTAGGAAAAGAAGTCAAATTGTCCCTGTTTGCAGATGACATGATTGTATATTTAGAAAACCCCATCATCTCAGCCCAAAATCTCCTTAAGCTGTTAAGCAACTTCAGCAAAGTCTCGGGATACAAAATCAGTGTGCAAAATCACAGGCATTCTTATACACCAGCAACAGACAAACAGAGCCAAATCATGAATGAACTTCCATTCACAATAGCTTCAAAGAGAATAAAATACCTGGGAATCCAACTTACAAGGGATGTAAAGGACCTCTTCAAGGAGAACTACAAACCACTGCTCAGTGAAATAAAAGATGATACAAATGGAAGAACATACCATGCTCATGGATAGGAAGAATCAGTATTGTGAAAATGGCCACACTGCCCAAGGTAATTTATAGATTCAATGCCATCTCCATTAAATTACCAATGACTTTCTTCACAGAATTGGAAAAAACTGCTTTAAGGTTCATATGGAACCAAAAAAGACCCCACATTGCCAAGACATTCCTAAGCCAAAAGAACAAAGCTGGAGGCATCATGCTACCTGACTTCAGACTATACTACAAGATTACAGTAATCAAAAACAGCATGGTACTGGTATCAAAACAGAGATATAGACCAATGGAACAAAACAGAGCCCTCAGAAATAATACCACACATCTACAGCCATCTGATCTTTGACAAACCTGACAAAAACAGGAAATGGGGAAAGGATTCCTTATTTAATAAATGGTGCTGGGAAAATTGGCTAGCCATAAGTAGAAAGCTGAAACTGGATCCTTTCCTTACTCCTTATACGAAAATTCAAGATGGATTAAAGACTTAAATGTTAGACCTAAAACCATAAAAACCCTAGAAGAAAACCTAGGTAATACCATTCAGGACATAGGCATGGGCGAGGACTTCACGTCTAAAACACCAAAAGCAACAGCAACAAAAGCCAAAATTGACAAATGGGATCTAATTAAACTAAAGAGCTACTGCACAGCAAAAGAAACTACCATCAGAGTGAACAGGCAACCTACAGAATGGGAGAAAATTTTTGCAATCTACTCATCTGACAAGGAGCTAATATCCAGAACCTACAAAGAACTCAAATTTACAAGAAAAAAACAACCCCATCAAAAAGTGGGCAAAGGATATGAACAGACTTCTCAAAAGACATTCATACAGCCAACAGACACATGAAAAAATGCTCATCATCACTCGCCATCAGAGAAATGCAAATCAAAACCACAATGAGATACCATCTCATCAGTTAGAATGGCAATCATTAAAAAAATCAGGAAACAACAGGTGCTGGAGAGGATGTGGAGAAATAGGAACACTTTTACACTGTTGGTGGGACTGTAAACTAGTTCAACCATTGTGGAAAACAGTGTGGCAATTCAAGGATCTAGAACTAGAAATGCCATTTGACCAGCCATCACATTACTGGGGATATACCCAAAGGATTATAAATCATGCTGCTATAAAGACACATGCACCTGCCCGTATGTTTATTGCAGCACTATTCACAATAGCAAAGACTTGGAATCAACCCAAATGTCCATCAGTGACAGACTGGATTAAGAAAATGTGGCACATATACACCATGGAATACTATGCAGCCATAAAAAAGGATGAGTTTGTGTCTTTTGTAGGTACATGGATGAAGCTGGAAACCATCATTCTCAGCAAACTATCTCAAGAACAGAAAACCAAACACCGCATGTTCTCACTCATAGGTGGGAAATCAAATAACTGTAGGATTTGAGTCAATATTTTGGTGGGTAACAAAAATTTAGATTGGATAAACTACATCTATTACAACCAACAGCAATTAACTACACTAGAGTTGCTGTTAAAGGAATAGCTGAGCAATTAGGGGCTATTAGCCAGATTTCTTGGGAAAATAGGATAAGCTTAGACATGCTGTTATCAGAAAGAGGAGGAGTTTGCATCATTATTAAAACTCAATGTTGCACCTTCATCCCAAACACCACCACCCCTAATGGAAGTATAACAAAGGCATTGCAAGGTCTGACTGCTCTATCCAATGAGTTTAGCCAGCAACTCAGGGGTAAATGACACATCTCCAGGATTGCTAGAAAAGCGGTTTGGTAAATGGAAAGGAATAATACCCTCAATTTTTACCTCCCTCGCAGTCGTAATAGATATACTTATTCTTGTTGGGTGTTGTGTCATACCATGTATCAGTGGGTTAGTGCAGAGGCTCATAGAAATGGCACTTACTAAAACCTCCCTTAACTATCTTCCACCTTATCCAGAGAAACTTTTGGAAAATCAAGCAGAACAACTAAGCCAAGACATGTTAAAGAAGTTTGGAGAGAAAGAGCTGTAAGGAAATGCAAGAGGAGGGGCTGGTAGATATGAGTTCTAAATTTCTCTTCAAAGAATGTCAGTATGTTCAATTCTTTGCATTTTACTTTTAAACTTAACTTCATTGTAAAGCAACCTTTTGGGTTGGAGACGGCCCCGGTCTCTCCACCCTGGCTCATTCCGATTTCCTTCTCTGCCATAACCATTTTTTCCCACTAAACCACTCACCCTGTCACTCTTTAAATTAACCCATCAGAATTAGTTTAGCCTGTGCGGTCTAACCCTAGCCAATAGGGGAATGACACAGCAGCAGGGGCTATGCGTGTCAGGGATAAGAACCCCTTCCCCCGCCTTGTCCAAGTGTGGGCTCACCACTGCTCCATCTGTGAGGGCACACCCTTCTCTAGAAGTAAATTGCCTTGCTGAGGATTAAAAAGAAAATTTAATATTCGAGTGATATTTATTTTGTGGCACCAAAATTTTGTTTATAACATTATGACTGCTATTAGCACCACAGATTTGTAGGAGGGCTACTACTGTGTGACATTGTCCAGGCTGGAAGTAGGAATGTTATCTGGAGGCATTGCCCAGATTCTCCAGTGAACTTAATTAGGATTTGAAGCTGGAGGAAGACTGCCAGCATTTAGCTTCTCCCAGCATTCAGAGGGGGAAGGATGGGTTAAAGAGCTCCATATGTGACAGCCCTAGAGATGGGCTGCTTGAATTGCTTTTCAAGGCAAGCCTTGGCATTCAGCTGTAGGATGGCAGATAGCTGCAGTGCCTTTGGGATCCATCGCAGCACTTGCCACTGTGGTGTCCCCAGGCAAATCCAGCTGATGACTGAGCATGGTAGAGGTAGTAGTGCCTGGCCATTTCTGCCCAATGCAGCACAGCTTTGAGCAGTCTTTGGAGCACATCATTGGGGCTTCAGACCTTATGTCTGCATAATGACCTGAGGCTCTCCTTGTCTGCTTCCTCTCCTTTAATCCTACACGGGCTTGACCCAACATCTGGAGAAAGTGTCCACTCTAAGCTGGGTCCTCCAGTAAGCAGTTGCTAGCACAAATCAATGTACTTCCCAGGGAGAAATCAGGGTGGTGGGGTGCAGTACACAAGGGATCTGAGTATGCACAAGTGTGTATAAAAGGTTTCAGATGCAACACCAGTTGTAGCCTTGTGCCAAGCCTCCCTCCATCCCGTTGATTTCATGCCCCATGCCCCACCCCCCCGCCCTAACCTCCCACATCAGGTAGGACAAACCTGCTCAGGTAGCCACACCTTCCCAGGGAGCTCAACTCCAGGCCCTCCTGAGGAATCCTTGAAATGTAATTGCTGTCCCAGGATGTGCTGGCGCCGAATATATCAAGATGCTAAATGCTAGCATTCTTCCTTCAGCTCCAGAGCCAAAACTAATACAAACACCCCATTCTCCCAGGTATTACTCTAATTCCATCAACAGGCTGACCAGGCCTGACCCCATCATGGGACCCCTCTGACTTATGGCCTTACCAACAGAGGCAGTGTCTCGAGACCTGAGCTAGATACCTGGTACCTACCTGGGAGGAAAGTGGTTTAAGAGATGAGCAGCCACCCCAGACCTGCAGCTGGAAGTGCCATGGTCATCCTCAGGGAAGAGCCTTAAGCTGAGGGATTTGCCGGGTGGAAGGAAGAGATCAGAGTCAAGCTGTTTAGGGTGGACACATTACTTCTTGCATCACCCTTTTCCCAAGTTAGCTGACCTGGGAAGAGGAAAAATCAATTCCAAATTGTTAGTAGCATGAAATGGAGGTAGTATGTGAGGTCTTATCCCCTATGCTACTCAGCTGACAAGCTCTGCATTTTATTTTAGCAGTATCATGAGAGGATTGAGCAGAGTTCCCACTAGGAAAAATTATAGGATCTTTAGCTTTACAGTAAATCATACACATAGAGGAAAGTATAGATTAGTGTAGAACATGATGAATTTCAAAGTGAACCCTCAAGTATAGCCATAATTACGCAAGTTGCCCTATGTTGATTAGCTTAAGATCTGCTTTCCAGAAGCGTGTCCCATAAGCTTTCCTCCTACATGCAGAGCAATCTCACCTAGTACGTCTATTCTTTTATGAGGTTTTAAACTACCTGATAGGGGATGATCCCAGCACATGGAGCCAGAATTGGCTGCAACCCAAGGTCCTTTGGATTAGTAGATGATGATTGCTAACTAGAATGAAGGGTAATCCTGTCCTCATTTCCATGTTTCATTTCCATCATATATGCTATTGATGCCCGACAGTTTGCTCTTAACTATGGACCTAAATAAATCTAGGTTCAAATCCCATCTCTACCTCTTTTAAAACAAGTGCTAGGCCCATTTTAAAGTTAAACTGAGCTTAACAGCTACATCTGTTCTCTACAAGTCTTGTCGTGGGAGCCAGTGGCTGTGAAAATGGCAAAGAACCCAAGGAATGTAGAGAGAACTCCCAAGCATCTTCCGTACCCATGAAGAACAAGCCCTAGGGATAGGAGATACTTCCAAGATGCTAATTTCTGTTAATGAAGTAGCCGTCCCAGAATTGAGTTCAGATCCCTGCACCTTCAGCCTATTAAGCCATAGTTTCGCCTTCTCGCATGCAACTTTCATTGTACAGAGAATAGTCGGAGAACTACGTTCCAGTGAGAACTGAGAAAAACCAGGAATATTCTCATTGTATTGAGAATATCACTTAATTTTTTATCTCTTGTCAGCAATGGGCTGTAATGTAGCAGTGGGGACAGGAGGTATAGAGTCGATGGCAGTCACAGAGGCAGAACAGAAAAGAACTTAAGCAGGAAGAGGCCCCAGCAGGAGAGTACCAACGATGGCAGCAATGGTGGCGAGATTGGATAGGACAACTGTATCAGGCAGTGTGGAGGGAATCTCCTTATGAATAAGTCAGGCAGGAAGACCACAGTAAAAACAGAGGCTCTAAGTATGCAGGGGCCAACCTAGTGCAACGGGTCCCAATGGTAGGGAGGATCACATACATTTCTGATACTAGAGTCAGTCCTCCTCTTTATAGTTGAACATAGGCCAAAAATAGGCTCACAGCAGGATCTCTGACTGGGTGTGCTGATTATTTGGTTTGCCTCCAGAGATCTAGTCTATCATTTTTCACTCTGTCCTGTGCTCAGAGAGGATCACCTGTTTGTCTTCACCTGGAAGACAGGGCAAGAGAATGAGTAGATATAGTCAATGAGAGGCACCAGCAGGTGATGGAAAGACAAGTGGGGGGAGGTTAGTCAGTTGCCTTCTCCCCAGCCAGGGGCCACTTCCTTTTATGACTTTGGCTTCCATAACAGCTCAGTCAGGCCCAGGAGCACAGGTTACTTCCCCTGTCCTCTCAGCTCTGGGAGGGTTGGGGTGGTCATGAAGCCCTGAGACACAGGGACATGCCAACTTCTTGTTAATTCCCTCAACCCTGCCCATGCATATGGGTAATCAGATGGATTCTATCTCCAGTTAGGATCCTGATAGTGGTATTTGTATGGGGGATTCCCCGCAAATGGTGTATGGACAGAAGGCGAGTTGACTATGAGAAGGTCAGCTTACAGGCCAGTGGACTTCCTGATACACAGAACACCATTGCATGAAGTAACTGGGACTCGAGCTTCCCTCTTCCAACTCGACCAGGATATAAGAGCTTTGGTACATGGTGACAGTATTCACGAATCAGATCCAATCAGACCTAATTAGTTCATTAAATATTATTTAGGAAAACAATGCTTATTTGGAGTTCCTTAGATTGTCATGGGTTTTAAGAGGGTTTTAGTGACATATGGGGGAAATTGACTGGGGTTTTTAGGTTGGCTGGGATTATTTTCCCCGTCTAAAACTTTGGATAGCGGGAGTCCATATCCCACTTTCAAGGATAAATTCGAAGAGATGCATGTACATTTAAACACATTTGACATTTGCAGCAGCCATAATGGAACATATAACCATCTTCATTTTGATCTTAAGTATAGGTCAGAAGATTATTCCAGCCCAAGAAACCTCTTGGTCTGAGGGTACACTCATAGGACTATTGGAGAGCTGTGCTCTCTATGGGAGTGAAGATCATTTTGTTGCTTGCTATTTGGATGTTCAGCAATGAGAAGAGTCAGACTTGTCAAAGGCTGGCCAGCAGAAGCTTGGCACAGACTCTCTAGGATTTCATGCTGCTCCCTGAGGGGGAGGACATTGCTGAGTAGTGTCAGAGCTAGCTCCCCACAAAAAGGATACCAAGCTGGGAAATGAGAACTCAGTTCCCTTGTCATCTTTAGTCAGCCTCTGGTAAATAAAAACTTGGTGAAATGGTCATTGACTGCAGTCCTGCACCATGCTTTTCCTCTGGGGACTCAGTGGGCTTTATTGGCTTCTGTTTCATGCATAACACAGGTGAGGAAAGAGTCCAGGCCCAGCCTGGAAATCCTAAGATGCATAGGTCCACATCAAAGGGACACAGGTAACAGCAAAGCCGGCAGATTGAGACATTGACAGAGGAGGGTTTAGAGACCATAAACTTGTTCTTTGGAAACTAGAACTTAGAACTGGCTTCAGCGCTGAACATGCCTAGAGGTATGAGTTCCTATGAATGAAGAATAAGAATCTAACAAGTATGGTGGCACATCTGTCCTTACAGGGATCCTCATAGCCAAGGATTCTGGATTTGAACAAGTCAGTCTCCAGCTATGTTTCAGAGTCTGAAGACTGCCTGTCATCCCTTAGAACTTCTCTCTGGGCCACTGGCTTGAAGGGCACATCTCAGGGAAGAAGTTCAGTGTGATTCCCTTCTTTGTGGAAAGACCTCAGTAGCCAAGTGTTTGCCTGCGTTATTTGTCTGAACAAGATCTTCTCTAGGACAACTAGGTCCACAGGACAGCACCAAGAGTTACTCTGCATGCTTATAGTACCAGCTTCAGAACAGAAACAGAGGCAATATTCACATGAAAGCTCAAATGTGGATCTCTCCTACCATAGTCACATCTTCACAAGCTGACAGTCCTCTCAATTCTGAGATTTGTTATTCAGCCTTTTCCCAATAGGATCTACAAAGTACCTCTTGACCATTTACCATGCATGGAACCAACATGCCAAATTCCTCAAAAACCGATTCCAGCCTGGGATCACGCTCATTGACTAGCTCTACCAATTCTTACAATTCATTCAGGCTCTGCTACAAGCATACAGCTTTGCTAGAAGTGTATTTCTGCTAGGAAATTTGACGCTACTGAGAGGTTGTGTGGCAGAGCCATGCTGCCCATTCTTCCAGCATGACTTGAGAACTAAGATGAACACTATCCCAAGTAGGTGCCTCCTTGACAACTTACACTACAAAGTGAATCATAATCCTGATCCTGGAGACTTCTATAATGGGCTCCTGTGAGATTTCTATTTGTAGAACCCAGAATTCACAACGGAACATCATCAAAACATCCAAAAGACAAGTTTCAATGAACAGATTCTCAGCAAAAGGACTCCAAGGATGCAGAGAAAGGGAAATGGCCCAATCTGGGAAGGCAGGTGCATAGAAGAGTTACTATAGCAGGACACTCACTTGAACTTGGGTTGTGTGCGGGTTCCCACCACTCCCTGTTGAGAATGACTCATTGTGCCCAAGTCACTTGTGCAAACAATATGAACACCTTTTCTTGGCATTTGGAATTTGAATAGGTACTAAAGCAGAGGATGCCTATTGTGGCTAGACCTCAATTAAAACCTTAGGTGCTGAGTTTCTAACAGGCTTCCCTGGCAGAAGATGACACATCATGAGTTGTACTCATAGCTGGGGAATTAAGCCTGTGCTGGGTGACCACACTGTGAGAGGGCAATCAAGCTTGTATTTTCTTCCAGACCTTGCCCCAGTGCCTTTTCTCTTAGCTGATTGTGCTTCGGATCTTTCATTGTGTAAGTAATAGCCATCAGTGCAGCCATGGCTGTACTGTGAGTCCTACTTGTGAATCATTGACACTGGGTAGAGTTTGGAGATCCCAACACAGTGGGTTCCTAATTTTGGCCTGGAAACAGCACAATCTCAATTTCTAAAGAACTACATACGTTTTGGTAAGTATATATAATGTGTAACCAGGAAGGATGAAAGACCCTGGTATCTATTCCTAAAGATTTGCTATCCCTGTTTAAGGATAAACAGTTCTTCATATTCCTTGGTAGGTGATGCCTCTCCCCATTCTTGACAGCCTGGATTTTTTTTTCGAGGCAGAGTTTTGCTCTTGTTGCCCAGGCTGGAGTGCAATGGGGCAATCTCGGCTCACCGCAACCTCTGCCTCCCAGGTTTGAGCAATTCTCCTGCCACAGCCTCCCGAGTAGCTGGGATTAGAGGCATGCACCACCACACCCACCTAATTTTTTGTATTTTTAGTAGAGATGGGTTTCTCCATGTTGGTCAGGCTGGTCTCAAACTCCTGACCTCAAGTGATCCACCTCCCTTGGCCTTCCAAAGTGCTGAGATTAAAGGTGTGAGCCACCGTGCCTGGCTGCCTGCATTTTTTTAAACCAGTGTGGCAAATGTATCCAATGTTTTATATAAGAACATGCATTTCCTTGTGTTTGCTGTCCATTTGTGTTGTCTTGAGAATTTCTCATATTTGTACATTTTTCTTTTTCCCTTAATGTTACTAATAGGCCAAGTGTTCAGTTTGCTCTTTTGTGTTTAAAAGGCAAGGTGCTTAACCAAAGCCTAGCTTATTCAATTTAATATAGCATTTTTGTTACACTACCTAGTTCTGTTAGCTGCTCTAACCTTAGCTCTGACACACTGGAAAAAGTTCTGCAGCTACAGCTTGTAAGCAGTAGTGAAAGGGAATTGAGTATATCAACTCCAAATTGGAGAGTTAGAATTCTAAGTCATTGTTACTAAGAGTTGTACATTTAGATAGATATCTAGTCTAATTCTTACTGTCATTATGGAGTGGCCTCATGCCTGGTAACACTCCTTGCTCCAAGACGTTTTGATATTGACATAACCACTCCAGCTTTCTTCTGACCTATGTTAGCGCGGTATATCTTCCCATCATTGACCTTTTGTGTCTTTGGACGAAGACCCAACCATTGGCTGCCTCCAAGAAACTTATTTTTATGAACTTTGAAAATCCATGCACTTTAGTAGTGCTATTTGGGTCATATTTATCTCATGTTTGGATTTAAGTATACCATCTATTTTTGTGTAATTTGTTTTTGTTTTTTCTGCCTGCTTTTATTCTTCTATCTCCTTTGTCTACTTTTTAGCTATAACTGTTTTGGTTGCTTTAGGGCTTACAGTATATGCTTAAACTCCCAGTCCACCTTGAATATGCCACTTCACATACAAGAAGCTATACTTCTCTCTTCTCCCAGACTTTGTGCTATAGTCAATTTACTTCTACATGTTATAAACCCTGTGATATGTTGTTTCTTTAAACTGAGTTATCTTTAAAGTAAAGTCTTGACCTACATATTTACTATTTCTGGGGATTTACTTGGCATTTTTTTCCCTCCTACCTGAATTTCTTTAGCATTTCTTATACCATCATAGAAGTCTGCCAATGATAAAAGAGGGAAAAACAGAAGCTGAAAGAATTCTTTTGCTTTTGTGTAAGATTTACTAGGAATAAGTATGTTGTCAGATTTTCTCAGTACCTTATAGTATACCTTGGTTAAGGGAATTTTAAAAGGGTAATGTATAGAAGAATGAGAAACATTTCTTTAGAAGCAATTCAAGCCAGAAGACAGTGGACAACATTTTAAGTAAGATTGCTTAAAAACAAGCAACAATTCATGTTTCTTGAAGTTCACTGAGCTCCTGGGATCTGTGGGTCTATGGTTTATGAAATTTGGAACATTTTGGCCATGTTTTTGTCCCTCCCCCAGCCTTTGGGGACTCCAGTTACAGCCACGTGCCACAGTGTATAAGATGGTGTTCCCATAAGATTAGTGGAGCTGAAAATTCCTGTTGCCTAGTGATGCCATAGCTGTCATAATGTTGTAGTGCAATTCATTACTCCTGTTTGCAACAATGCTGATGAAAAGAAACCTAATATACTGCCAGTCATATGAAAGTATAGCATCCAGTTATGTACAATACATGATACTTCAGTGACTGCTTACTGGTTTATCTACTATTTCTTTCTTTCTACATATCAAGTTAACTAAGACAGTCACAGGCAGGTCCTTTGGGAGGCATTCCAGAAGGATGCATTGTAATCATAGGAGATGACAACCCCATCCATGTTACTGCCTCTGAAGATCTAGTGGGACCAGGTGTAGAGGTAAGGAACAGTGCTATTGGTGATCCCGACCCCATGTAGGCCAAGGCTACTTTGTGTGCTTACATCTTAGCTTAAAGGTCTAAAGAGTAAATAGAAACAAGCTTATAGAATAAGGATAAAGACATTCTATATGTTTCTACAGTGTTTTGAGCTAAGTATTACCAAAATTTCAGTTATAGTTAAAGAGTTTAAGTTAAAGATAATTTGGTACTAAAGTTTTATGAAGCTAGTGTAGCTTAAGTATATGATGTTTATGAAGTCTACAGTAGTGTACACTATCATCCTAGGTCTTTACATTCACTGACTCACAGCAGCTTCCAGTCCTGCAGGCACCATTCATGGTAAGTGCCCTGTACAAGTATACTTTATTCTTTACACCCTATTTTTACTATACTTTAAGATGAAAATACTGTTGTGTTACAGTTGCCTATGGTATTCAGTAATATGCCACACAGGTTTGTAGCCTAGGAGCAGGGCATATCATAGAGCCTGGGTATGAGTAAGCTATACCTTCTAGCTTTGCTTAAGCCACTAGTCTTGTCTTTCAAATCTTTCATGCTTCCATTTAACATGTTTAGTTTTCTTTCTCGAACATATGGGATGTAGGTATCTGAGTGTCCCTGTTCTAGTTATAATTTCTAGACCTGTTTTTTATTGATGCGTTGTACTTTTATAAAATTTAGAGATGAGGTTTCATTCTGTCATCCAGGCTGGGGTGCCAGTGGTACAATCATAGCTCTCTGTGGCCCTAAATTCTTGGGCTCAAGCAACCCTCCTGCCTTGGACCGAGTAGCTGGGCTATAGGCACATACCACCAGGCCCAGCTAAGTTCTAAAAGTTTTGGAGAAATGAGGTCTCAATATGTTGGCTCGGGCTGGTCTCAAACTCCCAGCCTCAAGCAATTCATCTGCCTCATCCTCCCAAAGTGTTGGGATTATAGGCATGAGCCAACACACCCAGTCAGGAGTTGTATTTTCTTGATTCTCCATATGCCTGGACATTTGATTGGATACCCGAAATTGTGACTTTGGATATTTTTGTATTTCTGGAATTATTCTTATACCTTATTCTAAGATAGTTACTTGGTCAGCTAGATCCTTTTGAGCCTTGCTTTTAGGTTTTATCAGGATTAGGATAGCCTCTAGTCCAGGACTTATTCCATTACTGAGGCAACACCTTTGAGTACTTTGTCCTGTGTCCCATGAGTTAGGTTTCTATTCTGGATGCTAAGAATAAAATTTCAAGTGCTATGTGAGTTCCAAGGATCATTTCTTTTAAAGTCCCTTTGGGTAGCTCTTCCCTGGCCTAAGGTAGTTTCTTCACATGCATCTGGAGCTCAGCATTCAGCTGAAGATTCAAGGAGGACCCTCCGTGGTTGTCTGGGGTGTTCTGTGTGTGGCTGTCTCCTCCAGCATTCTGCCCTGCTAATTCTAGCTACCTGGGCCAGCCAGAATTCAACTCAGGGAGATTGCTGGGCTGTGTTGCCTGTGCCTGGGCTGCATTCTAGACACTCTCCAGCCAGTAAACTGGGCAAGTTACAGGGTCACCTTGTTTATTTCCCCTCTTAGGCATCAGTCTTGTGCTCTTGATAGAACAGTTTGACTCTTCATGGTTTTATCTGTTTTTAGTTGTTTCAGGTAGGAAGATAAATCTAACCCTGTAATTCCATTTTGGCCAGGAGAAGCCTATACTTTTCTCAAGTGTTTTGAAAAATCCCTCTTGGGGGTAGCTTTTGGTCGTTAAGACTTTCTAGTCTGACCAGTGGTCACTATCACTGCAGTATTACTGTTATGTACTTGCTTAAAGAATGGTAGGATAAAGATGGGCAGGTTTTTGGTAGGTATTTATTAAACGGCTCTTAGACTCTCAGGTATAAAGGATAAACTTAACTCCTTGATTAGATCTCAGCTGTTGGATACATTTTAGGTCTATAGGCTCACAGTCTGATCAATCTGATGGTCTTTGTTCTTTTCATGCAAGCAGACTCCCAGGCAGTGATAGGCCAACGAATCTGAGACCTGTACAACCTAGCAGACTCTTGTTACCAGTGTCCCTCTAAATTGTTATATACCTGTCTCTCCAGGTTTTTGGAGAATAAACCCAGACCAATAAGGTCCTAGTGATGCCCACCTCAGAACCCAAGACTCCCAAATCCCCTGGCTTAGAATGGTTTATGCCTGAGAAATTCTTATCTGTGGTTCAAAACTGCACACAAAAGTGAAAGCAAGTGATTTAAAAGCAGTGGTTAGCAGGACAGTTGTCATTTTCTCCTTAAGTTATGAAGTGTTTTTCCTTTAGGCTTATAATTCTGAAATAAAGTCAATGGCATAGAATACTCAAACAGGGTCTAAGATCATATTTTAGTAACTAACATTGTTCCGGGTGAAGTTCCTGGTTACAAGAGGTTAATCTGATCTTTAGATCAGATACACCAAGGAAAAACCTTGGCCCCTTCTTGCAGCTGGTGAAAGTAAGACTCACTAATAAAGCCCTGCTTTGCAATCTATTTTTGGCATAAGAATAAGCCCAGCTGGGCCTTGAAGTATGAGAAAAGCACTCCCTTGAAGTGCAAAAGCAGAAACAAAACATTTAAACTGTCTTCTTGGAGTCATTCTAACTTTAGAAAATTAGAATGACCAAGCTTACAACCTGTCATCTGAACTCAGAGGGTCATTTTTCAGATGGTCATAGTATTTCTGCATGTATTCGTTTGAAAATGTAAAGATGGTTCCAGCTTTAAATATCCTTAGGTTTTGCTTTTTGGTGGTCATGTTCAACTCAGTAGGTTACAATATGGCCTTCAGAGATACCAGTACCTTGATTAACAAGGGAATGAGGAACCAGCAGTCTTACTGTAAAGACTGATTGTTCATTCTTTTTATATCTACCTCAACTAATTGGAGTTTTAGAAAATTCTAGAGGCCATGGACTCAAGTGAAACAGGTTGTTGGGCAAGCTAGTCAGTACAGCCAGACCAGGATTAAAGTTCTGGAGCTCTGTATCCAACTAAATAGCAGGCTCACAGACACATTGAGAACAGTTGCCCAAAGCCCCCATCATAAAAAGACATAGCCAACATGAAGTTTGAGTGCATAGGAATTTGACCCTAGGTCCCATCCATTGAGTTCATCCCTAACACCTATCCCAGAGTAACTAGGTTTGACACCACTTGGCTCCTCATGAAGAATCATAAAACTTTTTGGAGGGATGCCACTTCAACCAAATTGGGAAATAAAGTAGAGGTCATTTGAAGGTGTTTTTAACCCATGTTCAGTCGTAGGGTCATCCTATATACTTGAGTAGTCAAGGTTTTGGTGTTGTTATTACAGATAAACATCTCAGGGCAGACCAGAACCATCAAATGGTCACCTCCCCCTGCCTATCTTTTACATTTGTCACAGTTCTTTGATTAGGTGAGGCGGCAGGCCAGGTCATTTTCAGATACTTCGTGAGCCTGGAAAAGACAAAAACCAGATGCAGACTTCTCATGAGGCTGGCCCTCAACATCAGGAAATCAGGCTAGTCACATCATGGGCTCTCGGCATTAAGAGACTTAAGCACTAGTAACTATAGAAAATACGATTCAAGGAAGCGATCACTTTTTCTGCAATAGTACATTATGCTCTTCTCAGAGCAACTTGCTGTTTAATATAAAGCTATGTTTCTATTCTGTCAAGTTTCCAACTAGAGTCTATAGCTCTATTCCTTCTATTCCTGTGTGTTACCTAGGGGTCTAGGAACTATGGGTGTGAGTTGGGGTGGCTCATTATGTTCTCTTCCAGGAACCTACTAGCAGAATTTGTGCTCCCCATGCCCACAAGCTTAGGTTCTGCTAAGTAAGAGGTCCTGGTTCTAGAGTAAGGTAGAGATTTCTAATATATGCTAAGAGCATTTGATGTCAAATTCAAAGTGACCAAGCACGTATAGGCTGGGCAACCTAAGATGTTACATAATCCACAACTGAGTGCTGACCTGATGCAAGTTGAAAATTGTGCATCTGATCACATGTGTCAGGTCAGTCAAAACACAGGCACACCATTTGTGTTCCAAAGAGGGGGAAAGACCCTCCCCCAGCCCCCTTTAGCTGTGATACATCTTTTCTGCACATGTAGATTTCCCCCATACAAGCATGCCCACAAAGGGTAATAAGATGGCATGTGTGCAGGCTGGGCACACCAATGGCAGATTTCCCACAATGCCCTACATGGGGACAAGAGCTATGCAAAGATTATTTTAAGTGTTTGGAGCAGCCCCCCTCCCCCAAAATCTGGCCATAAACTGGCCCCAAAACTGGCCATAAAATCTCTACAGCACTGTGACATGTTCATGATGGCCATAACATCCACGCTGGAAGGTTGTGGGTTTACGGGAATGAGGGTAAGGAATACCTGGCCCCCTCAGGGCAGAAAACTGCTTAAAAGGCATTCTTAAGCCACAAACAATAGCATGAGGGTCTGTGCCTTAAGGACATGCTCCTGCTGCAGTTAACTAGCCCAACCTATTCCTTTAATTCGGCCCATCTCTTCATTTCCCATAGGGGATACTTTTAGTTAGTTTAGTATCTATAGAAACAATGCTAATGACGGGTTTGCTGTTAATAAATACGTGGGTAAATCTCTGTTCAGGGATCTCAGCTCTGAAAGCTGTGAGACCCCTGATTTCCCACTTCACACCTCTATATTTCTGCTTGTGTCTTTAATTCCTCTAGCACCGTTGGGTTAGGGTCTCCCCAACTGAACTGGTCTCGGCAAGTGGCGTCCATCATGGGGGCTCAAATCCAGGTCTAAGAGTCACCGGAGTGACGGCTGGAGAACTTGGAACTAGCTGGAGGACACCCGAGTACTCTTAAAGCAATCCCTGTGGTAAGAGGGAGAGCTCAGAAGCATCAGGGTAACAATGGGACAAGTGTGGGGTATGGTTCTTTCCACCTTGGAACTTTTTCACACTGATGAGGAAGGAGAGTATAGTGAAGTAACAGAAGAGGTTACAGAGCATGTTTATTTGCCAGCTAAAGCAGCAAAAGAGGGAGAAGTTCATCACTACCCTTCTATACCCCCTCATTTTGAATAAAAAGACCCTCCAGATCTTTCTTTCCTGGAGGACAATGGGTGAAAAATAGTTGCCAGTGACTGTTACAGCAGCACCTCGAGCAACCGCTCTTAGTTCTATTCAGGCAGGAATTCAGCAAGCTAGAAGAGAGGGTGATACAGAGGCTTGAAAGTTCCCTGTTAGAATATACCCACCATACCAACAGGGAAATATTAAAAGGAAAAGGCTCAAATGTAGCTGTAAATTACTCAAAGAATTTAAACAAGCTATAAGTCAGTATGGACTAGGTTCTGCTTTTGTAATGGGACTGTTAAAGAATGTTGCTGTTTCCAGCCAGATGATTCCTACTGACTGGGATGCTCTTACTCCAGCTTGTCTGACTCCTGTTCAGTTCTTACAACTTAAAACTTGGTGGCCAGATGAAGCTTCCATTCAGGCTGCTTGCAATGCCCAGGCTCAACCTCAAATTAACATAACTGCAGACCAACTTTTGGGGGTTGGCGGCTGGGCTGGTTTAGATGCACAACTGGTCATGCAGGACGATGCCATAGAACTGCTTAGAGGAGTGTGCATTAGAACTTGGGGGAAAAAAATCACTTCAGGTGGAGAACAATATCCTTCCTTTACTGCTATACAACAGGGACCAAGAGAATCATACGTTGATTTTATAGCTCAGTTACAGGAGTCTCTTAAAAAGATCATTGCAGATTCAGCTGCACAGACTATAGTGTTGCAGTTATTAGCTTTTGACAATGCTAATCCCGATTGCCAGGCTGCTCTGCGACCTGTTAGAGGGAAAGCACATTTAGTTGATTATATCAAGGCCTGTGATGGTATCAGAGGTAATCTGCATAAAGCTACTCTGCTAGCACAGGCATTGGCAGAACTGAGAGTGGATAAAGGAAATACACCATTTCCTGGAGCTTGTTTTAACTGTGGGAAGCATGGTCATACTAAAAAAGAATGTAGAAAAAAATTAGCGAGTCAGGCTGCCAGAAAAGAAAACTGCTGGTCCTAAAATATATCCAAAATGTGAAAAAGGAAAACATGGGCTAATCAGTGTCACTCTAAGTTTGATAAAGAAGGGAACCTGATTTCGGGAAACACTATGAGGGTCCCGTCCCGGGCCCTGTTTTAACTGGGGCATTTCCAGCTCAGGCCATTCCCTCACCCCTATACAATGTCTTCCCCTGCCACAGCCAGTAGTGCTGCAGATTTATGCTGCACAAAAACTGTGAGCCTTCTGCCTGGGGAACCCCCACAAAAGGTCCCAACAGGAGTCTGTGGACCCTTGCCAGCAGGGACAATAGGATTACTTTTAGGAAAGTCTAGTTGAAGTTTAAAAGGGGTACAAATACATACAGGAGTCATTGATTCAGATTACAATGGAGAAATTCAAATTGTTGTGTCTACTTCTGTTCCTTGGAAAGCAGAGCCAGGAGAGTGCATAGCATAGCTCCTCGTTGTGCCGTATGTGGGAATGGGAAAATGTGAAATTAAAACAGGAGGATTTGGAAGCACAAAGAAGCAAGGCAAAGCAGCTTATTGGGTAAATCAAATTACTGATAAACATCCTACCTGTGAAATAACTATTCAGGGAAAGAAATTTAAAAGGTTTGGAAGATACAGGAGCGTACATTTCAATCATTTCTTTTACAGCACTGGCCATCGGCATAGCCAATTCAGCCTGCTCAATGTAACATAGCTGGAGTTAGTAAAGCCCCTGAAGTATATCAAAGTAGTTATATTTTGCATTGTGAAGGGCCCAATGGACAACCTGGGACTAGTCAACCAATTATAACTTCTGTACCTATAAATTTATGGGGAAGAGATTTATTACAACAATGGGGAGCACAAGTTCTAATTCTTGAACAATTATATAGCCCTCAAAGTCAACATACAATGCATGAAATGGGGTATGTCCCTGGTATGGGACTAGAAAAAATTTTGCAACATTTGCAAGAACTGCTTCAAGCAGAAAAAACAAAGTTCTTGCTAAAGATTAGGAAATAATTTTTAATGGTGGCCATTGTTAAGCCTCCAGAACCTATACCTTTAAAATGGTTAACAAATAAGCCAATTTGGATAGAACAATGGCAGCTAAGAGAAACTGGAGGCTTTAGAGAAATTAGTTACTGAACAATTAGAAAATGGGCACATAGCTCCAACATTTTCCCTGTGGAATTCGTTTTTGCAAGAAAAAAAATCAGGTAAATGGAGAATGTTAACTGACTTAAGAGCCATCAATTCAGTTATACAACCTATGGGAGCATTACAGCCAGGAATGGCCTTCTCCTGCTATAATTCCCCCCCTCCCCCAAAAAATGGCCTTTAATAGTCAGATTTAAAAGACTGTTTCTTTACTATCCCTGTAGCTGAGCAAGACTGTAAATGGTTTGCATTTACAATTCCTGTGGTAAACAACCTGCAGCCTGCTAAGCATTTTCATTGTTTTACAGACGGGTCTATAATGGTAAATCATCTTATTCTGGATCAAAAGGTAAAGTTTTCCAGACGTCCTATACTTCAGCTCAAAAAGCAGAGCTTGTAGCAGTAACTGAGGTATTGAATGCTTTTGATAGCCTATTAATGTGATTTCTGATTCTTCATATGTGGTTCATTCCAGTTAATCGAAAATGCTCGATTACGATTTCATACAGATAGAAAACTGATGACATTATTTACCCAACTGCAAACAGCAGTTAGGAGTAAAATGCATCCTTTTCCCATCACTCACATTAGGGCTCATACACCCCCCTTCCAGGATCTTTAACTGAAGGGAATCAAATGGCTGATCACCTAGTTGCTAATGCAATATCTAATGCTAGACACTTTCACAATTTAACCCATGTTAATGCCTCTGGTCTCAAACGTAGATACAGCATTACCTGGAAAGAAACTAAAACTTATCCAGTGATGCCCAACTTGCCAAGTGGTACATTCATCTTTTACCGGCATTAATCCTTGAGGATTGGAACCTAACTCTCCTTGGCAAATGTCACATTTGACATCCTCGTTTGGGAGACTAGCTTGTGTACATGTGTGGACACCTTTTCTCACTTGGGGCTACGTGCCAAACAGGAGAGCCTTCTGCCTGTGTTAAATGTCATCTTTTGCAGTGTTTTGTGGTGATGGGCATTCCAGCTTCTATTAACACAGATAATGCCCCAGGCTATACTAGCCAAGCTCTAGCTACATTTCTCTCTATGTGGAATGTTTAACACATTACTGGTATCCCAATATAATTCTCAAGGAAAAGCCATAGTGGAAAGAATGAAACTTTCCCCAAAACAGCAGTTGCAACAGCAGAAAGGGGGGAAATAGAATATGGAACCCCATAGATGCAACTGAATCTAGCATTATTAACTTTAAATTTTTTGAGCCTGCCCAAAGGCAGATGTTACCAGCAGTTGAACAGCATCTACAGAAACCAGTTGCAAAGACAGAAGTAGAACAACTGATTTGGTAGAGAGATCCAACAACAAAAAGTTGGGAAATAGGTAAAATAACTTGGGGTAGAGGTTATGCTTGTGTTTCTCCAGGCCAAAATCAACAGCTGATTTGGATACCATCAAGACACCTGAAACCTTATCATGAGCCAGATGCCGAGGAAGAGATTTCTAGAGGATCCCAAGGACCCCCTGGTTGCAGCCATGTTGAGATGGATGCTGAAGAGGACCCCAACTGTCACGAGCAACACCCAAACACAACCACCCACCTGGGAACAGAACAAGAAGCTGTCACAGATGGTGGAAGAAAACCTGAGTAAAGCAGGACCACCAGTCACAATAAATAATTTAATGATAGCTATGATAGTAGTTATCACCACTGCCGTGAATATTTCTTCAATGAGAGCTGACAGAACAATTATACGTATTGGATATATTTGTCAATCTTGGCTGGTAATAATGCCTGGATTTAATCACTCTATGACAGTTACACATGCTTTCTGATCTCAGTATTTACCATAATAAATCTGCTCCTATAATAGAGGCATACTACCCTCAAAAACCTATTTGTAGACAGGATCGGACCCAGTTAGAAAAAATGAACATACTCATTTAGGAAGATTGCATTGCAGAACAGGCAGAGGTGCTGCACAACAATTCCTATGGAATCATTATTGATTGGTCCCTTAAGGGGATGTTTAGCTTGAATTGCACATCTCAGTCTGCATGCCACGGCTACACTATGTTCAGCTGATCTGAACAAAATGGTCAGCTGGTAGAAGTGATAACCATGGCAGCATAGTGGCACCTCAACCTAATGATATGGCCCACTGTAGGAGCTAAACAACATAAGGATTTGTGGAAACTATTAGTAGCTCTTAAGATCAAAATTAGGGAAAGAATAACAAAGCATCTAGAAAGACTAAAAAACTTGTCTTTGGATATTGCAAACTTAAAGAACAAATATTTAAAGCATCCCAGGCACACCTGACCTTAATGCCAGGAACTGGAGTGCTTAAAAGAGCTGCAGACAAATTAGCTAGTAACCCATTAAAATGGATGAAAACACTTGGAAGCTCTGATTTCAGTGACGATTGTGCTTTTAATCTGTGTTGTCTGTCTTTGTATAGTCTGCAGATGTGGATCCTGACTCCTGCAAGAAGTAACTCACTGTGACAAAGCTGCCCTTGCTTTTATCGATTTGCAAATCAAAAGGGGGACATGTTGGGAGCAGGACCCCCAAAATCTGGCCATAAACTGGCCCCAAAACAAAATATGTGCAGCATTGTGACATGTTCATGATGGCCATAATGCCCACGCTGGAAGGTTGTGGGTTTATGCCAATGAGGGTAAGGAATACCTGGCCCGCCCAGGGCAGAAAACTGCTTAAAGGCATTCTTAAGCCACAAACAAAATAGCATGAGGATCTGTGCCTTAAGGACATGCTCCTGCTGCAGTTAACTAGCGCAACCTATTCCTTTAATTTGGCCCATCGCTTCATTTCCCATAAGGGATACTTTTAGTTAATTTAATATCTATAGAAACAATGCTAATGACCGATTTGCTGTTACTAAATACGTGGGTAAATCTCTGTTCAGGGATCTCAGCTCTGAAGGCTGTGAGACCCCTGATTTCCTACTTCACACCTCTATATTTCTATGTGTGTGTCTTTAATTCCTCTAGCACTGCTGGGTTAGGGTCTCCCTGACTGAGCTGGTCTTGGCACTAAGCTCTGGTAGAGATACCAGAAGGGTCAAGTCCTATAGACAGCCCTGTGGATAACAGTGATAAAAAGGCAGCATTTATGTTTATCTATAGCATAGAAGTCAAGCTGTTGGAGAAACTGAACAGCAGTTAGTGTGAAGCATCTTACAGAAGAGTATATATTGACCACCATATGGAATGACCACTATGTGACCTGACAAAAAAAAATAAGCTAGTGAAATTCATGCTGAAAGTAGTGGATAGTAGGAAAACATTAAATAAAGCTGTAAGTGAGGGTAATCGTGTTTGAGAGTAGATCTGTCCGCATGGCAGTGAACACATGTCACTCAATGCTGTGCTAATTATGAAACAAGCAGAGATCACCATGGATTGAAAATTAGGGGGAACTTAATATTCAACAGGCTGATCACAGCAGTTTAAAAGACATGACAATAAGTTTTCAAACATTTGTGGCAATAAAGACATCTGATCACGAAGCAGTGAAGAAATTCCTTAGTCATTCTGCCAAGGTCACTTCTGGTGAAAGTCTATGATTCTGACAAAATACTGTTTTATCATTATTGCCCCAGAAAGACTACAGCTGATGGGACAGCCTATAGAAATTGAGGATGCCAAGGACAGTAACTATGCCGGGATGTGCTAATGAAGACATAGTGTAAACTTGTTATGACTGGCAAAAGCTTGTGTCCTCACTGAGTTTCCTACAAGTCCGTTATTGTGCTAACAAAAGGGAGTAATTTAGGGACATCTTCCCCTGTTTATCATTTTGTGTCAGTAACTCATACTCACTGCAGGGAAGCTAGACTGGATGACAACACTGAGATTGTTATTTCTTGACAATTGTTCTGTTTATCTTCCAGCTGAAGTGTTTATGCCATGTACTTTCACAACACAGTTGCATTAATTCAGCCACATGACTAGGATAAGCCTTAGACCAGTCAATGAACACTTTGAACAGCATGCTAGCTGCTGTTAACAGAAGTATGGGTGTAGGTTTTCAAAAGGAACCCAGCATAGCAAATGCTTATATGCTGTTGTCAGTGCTTGAAACAGTGATCAGTGTGTGCCTGAACATACAACCTCTGGGCTGCAATTATGTTCAGTGGTGAACAAGGTAATGACTTTGAAGAATTTTCGTGCAGGAAGTGATCCTTACATATGCAAAAGATATGTCTTCAGAGTCCATTAGTAAGCTGGAAGAAATGGATGCTGACTTTTAGAAAGTTGTTCATTGCTGGGGAAATAGCAGAAATGGCTCTGAATCAAGGTGATTGTGGAAACAGCAAAATAGTATAGAAGTGGTACCTACAGATGACACGGTTAAGTGTGTGATGGGCTTAAAAACTAGAGCGGAGTATGTTCTTAAATTGTATCAGTCTCATTTTATCAGTAAAAGTGATGGTTTAAATGAGGTGGATGACGCTGGAGGAAGCATTAAAAACCCATTCAGCAGAATGTCTCACTGCTAAAGGGCCCATTTCCTGGTCCTTCAACTGCTTGATGTTTTCTCATGTAAAGAAAATACAGTGTAACCTTTTAATCAAAAACAGCATCATAGGTAGACTGAAAGCCCACTTCTGTTTAATAGCTGATGCAGGTATTCTGGTGGTGCTACTGGGCATAGTTACCCCATGCACTTTTCATTGCATTAGTTGTATGTCTTTTTACTATTAAATAAGCAAGTGATTGCTTATCAGTGGCATATAAACTCAAAGTCAAGAATAATGGTGATGCTAAACTATAGGTTGTCCATATGGGTGGCTGAGATAGTGACACCTTTACTTTGATGGTTTGGTATAAACTTTGTTTCAAGCACAAATATCATAAAGTAACCTTTAGGTGAAGGTGTACATGAAATTGTTTTTAGACTTGTCCCACCCAAGATCTCTCATGTGAATGCAAATACTCAAATCCAAAATACCCTGAAGATACTTCTGTTCCCAAGCATTTTGAATAAGGGATGTTCAACCCGTAGCAGTGACCAGGTTTCTGCCAGTAGACTGGCAGGCAGGAGTTATACCTGCAGGGGCAGCCAAATCTGGTTATGAGGCATGAGTTGTTATATCATGAGGGCATGGAAAAGGGTGTCTGGAGTTTGCAGGAGTCATTGGGGCCACCACTTGGTACTTTCACACCCTTTTCACACATGTTGACTCCTAATAAACTGATATACCACCCATCACAAATCTTGACTTGATTACAGACTTGGACAGGAGCAAGTGGTCCAAGGGCATGGAGAGGATCCAGGTGCTGAGCTCCCTCCTGAAGACAGGAAGCATTCCTGGACTCACCTTATGCAGTACCTGGAATTTGGGTTTGCTTTTCCCTATAGGCTTTGGGGTTCCTGTGAAGGCTCGAACTATTCTGCACATAGAGACTCCACTGAGTAACTGAATTTCCAGCCAGGACTCTGCTCCTTCAAAGCCTCTCATTCTAGGAAAGGGAAACTTGGGCCCCCTTCCTGCCAGCTGGTGAGGCCTAGGCATTGCCACCAATCCTGCTCAACTGCCTGCTCTGGAAAAGGCTAAGCTGGGCCTTAGGTTTCAATGAGAGGGGTACTTAACCACAAGAATATACTATTGCCTTTTACTGTCTACACTGATTTTTTTTTTTTTTTCCCCAGACAGTCTCTCTGTTGCCCAGGCTGGAGTGCAGTGGCACAATCTCAGATCACTACAAACTGCCTCCTGGGTTCAAGCAATTCTCCTGCCTCAGCCTTGTGAGGAACTGAGATCACAGGCATGTGCCACCACGCCCAGATAATTTTTGTATTTTTAGTCGACATAGGGTTTTGCCATGTTGGCCAGGCTGGTATTGAACTCCCAATCTCAAGGTGACCCATTTGGCTCGACCTCCCAAAGTGGTGGGATTACAGGCATGACCCACTGCTTCCAGCCTACACTGGTATTTTTGAACATGTGTGTGTTTTGTAGAGATGGGGTCTTACTACACTGCCCAGGGTGGTCTCAAATTCCTGGTCTTAAGTGATCCTCTCACCTCAACCTCTTAAAGCACTGATCACCAGGCATGAGCCACAATATCCAGCCTATTTGTTTCTGAGAAAAACTACTAAGGCATACCTTTGGCAATTTCAAGGGATGGTTTTTTTTTTTTGTTTGTTTTTTTTTTTTTAGGTGAAGGAAATCATTTTAGTGTCTTGACCACAGTAGTCTCATTACTTTGGCACTCATGAAGGCATTAGTCAGAGTGTCAATCCAAATCTATTTTAGGCAACCAGAGCCTATCATGCCACGTGGCTTCAACATAAGTCCCAGAGACATTGACGTCTCCTGAGATTTTGTAGGATAGTACAAAACAAGAACCTCTATTTGAGGACTCAACTGTTAAGATTTCCTATTCATGGTTGAAAAGGCTACAGCATCTAGTTCTGAGTTATGAAAACTCATGGCTCTTTGCCTGAACACTGCTGATAAAGTCTCACATGCACAAGAGCAGTTAGGTCTTGTCCATGTCTTCTACATGGACACTCAGTAGAAGAGAAGGCCCCATTCAGGAAAGGCTGGTGTCATCTTGGGTCAAAAGATTCTTTCCAAACTTCTCATCTACAGGCCAACTCCGATTTATATTCTAGATAAGTTCTTAAGAGTTGATGAGCAAGAATACACTGACCAAGACTGATGTCTCTGAAATTCAAGACAGATGAACTGAATGAAGTTCAGCACTACATTCTCTATAAGACATCTTAGGGTGGGGGGACGCACCCATTTAGCCCATGGCCGTTCCTCTCGCAGCTCTGCAATATGGCCCAACCCACAAGTGAGGCGGGTAGAGGTCCCTGCTACTTGGAGTAGGAGGCA